CCCCCCCCCCCCCCCCCCCCCCCCCCCCCCGCACCATAAATCCCGCTCTCGCTTTAAACTCTTTTCTCCAGCCGAGGTCTCAACTTCCTCCCAGTCAACAATCCCGTTCCCTCCCCTCGATTACGATCTCTGAAAATTGAATATCACCCCACCCTCACCTCCTCCCCAGCTTCCAGTGCCCTACTTTTGCCCCTAATCATCAAAACTCGTCTTCAGACCTGACCGAATTGAATTTTAATGGCAGTCTTTTTTCGCCCATTTTACAACTGTCAAATCTACTTGGATAAGTGACATCTCTGGTAACAGAACCAATAAAATGAGGTGCTGCACATCAGCAGAGCGATGCGAATATACGTTTTTTGCACAATTCCATTCGCGGCGATCGAATCTGCACAAATGCTCCAAACGCAAATTTGAACTGAGTCGTAAAAGCGCACACGCACAGAGTCTTGTTAATTTTTCGCATTTGTATGAATTCAAAACAGCACGAAACCTTATTTTTTTAATTTGGATTCTTTTTCCCGGAGTTTGTTTTATTCATGTCCAGCAAATACATCTGTACAGTTTGTCAAAAAAATAATCGGCCAACGCAAGGGCTGCCCGTGCGAAGATGCGTTTTTTGCGGAGTTTCCTGCAATTTTTGTCGCTACCGGCATCGGTTTTTTCGGCAAATGCTTCAAGCTAAACAAATTACGACTGGCTGCCAGGACTGGCAGGAAAAACCCCCTTAAAATTTCAGCTTTCTAGTTTTCCTGGCTCCTGAGTGAGCAACTTACTGGAAAAAACTTTCACGGGCCCGCACGCGGGTACGACGCATGCCCGATGTCTGGGTTTGAGCTTATTAGCGCCTACTTGGACGGGGAATTTTCCCTTAAAGTTTCGGCGCTCTAGCATCTCAGATCCCCGAGCTATGAATTTACGCGGGAATAACTTTAGCGCGCCCGTACGCGGGTACCACGCCTACCGGGGGGTTGGGTTTGAGCTCATTAGTATATACTTGGACGGGGGACATTCCCTTAAAAGCTTTCTAGCTTTCCTGGTTCGCGAGCTATCAACTTACCCTAAAAAAATTTTAGCGGGCTCTTACGCGGGTAGGACCGCCCATCTTGGGGATGGGGCCCGTACGTGTATGTAGATTAACTCCCCAAAATTTCAGCCCTGTAGCATTTGTGGGCCTCGAGATGAAAAATCGGTAGAGACGCGCAGCGCACACACAGACACAGACAACCTCTCGTCAATATGCGTTTTTCGCATTGCATAGCTGCAAAAAACGCATAATAACTCTACCTTCTGGACTGAATAATCACCAACTTTGCTGCGCTGCGCATAACAATCGTATTCCTCATCAGCTCCTGTTAATTTGGTATATTTCATGGATGAAACGATCTTTAAAAATCCAGCATTACATCACCACACTGTTCAAGCTCATCTGAACTGTCAGCCTGGACTGTGCCCAGGCTTACACCCGAAACTGGCTACGCGAGAGCCTCTTCTGCCCTAAACTTAAGTCAACCCTCATTACGATCTCTTTGAGAAAGTGTAGCACCTTATCAAATGCTATCCAAATAATGCATCTCTTCAAAGAATATCAGGAAAAGAATGTTTCTCAACTGTTTGCATCCTAAAATTTCCTCCTGCACATGATACTTGGACTAAAGTCTTATTTCCGACTCTATTATTTCGAAACTAATTCAGGAACCTTCACATGTTGACACACCATATTCACCCAAAAAGAGGAGAGTTGGAGACCTCTTCTAGAACAGCTAGGGTACCTTGAGAAAAAAATCAACTTACCAGAGCACCCATTTTCATTTGTAGTCCCATAAGCGCTCTCCTGCAAACATTCGCGGCCATTAAAATTTGATTCTGCATTTTAAAATAAACCCCAATTTTAGAGCATTTCTTACTACTCGAACACTGTCTTCCCCGCGCCCACCAACAGCCAAAAAATGGTGAAAACTGCACTTTTGCTCCACGCAATAAAAACTTTAAATCTGGAAGTCCTACAGCAATAGCATTTCTTATAGGAGGTCCACAGGCAATGAGTAGGGGCCAGATATTTCGGCAGCAGAGTGTAGCACGCAGACACTTCTAGGCCAAGATGAAAAGCAGTTGTCAACTTCTTCCAAATCAACATTCTCTACTTGCAATTTGACTGCAAACACACTGTATCACCTTAGTTTTCGAAGAATCAATTTTCAGGCCGAGCGATCAAGCTGTACTTCTTCAGATCTTCGTTAGTGTCTTGTGCAGCAAAACAGTTTTTAACTCTCTAATTGCAGTGTATCCTCTTCCTGGCCAAGTGCCGACTGAATCGAATGGCGACAGTTTTTCAAATTTCGTGCCCTTCAGCTCTAAGTTCGATGTTAAAGCCATCATTTCCGGAAGCCTTCTCACTTTTCACTGTGACAGCTGAATACCTCACGCTGTGATCAGTACGAGAATGCCGGCACATTGTGCAATCAATCTCTTATGTTATTTTCTACATATGTAGAAAAGACGTCAAAAAATTTAGGTATATATAGCTTAGAATAAACGTATAAGAGCAGTAGTGTTGTATGTAGGAGGTAACTTATCTTTATACCCACTTCACGTCATCCGGCTTTGTTAGTCGATTCTCAGTCCCTTCTTTGCACATGGTCCCGTAGATAAGCCCCGCATGGCCCTGTTCTCAGTCCCTTTTTTAAAGATCGAGAAAATCCGAGGGCGAATTTCATTAAAATAACATACCCCGTAGATATCGGCAAATTTGTTAGTTTTGCGCCATGGGACGTTGTTGGAGACAACATAACGCAAACGCGTTATTCGACAACGCGGACATCGCTTGATAAACTGCTCCACATCGCTCGTTATTGAATTCCAATAAAAGCGTGCAGAAACCATCTTGCGAGTTGCGTTCAGGCCTCCATGATTTGTCTCCAGATGCGCCTGTGAACTCGCATTCAAGCATTAACAAAACTCCGCATGAAATAAGACCAAGTCGATTCGCAGGCATTGTAAATTAATTAGGACTAAAAATGCTCGCGCAAGACCAATTTTCACGGCTCACGCCAGCCCCTACAAAGAAACTGGCTTAACTTTGTAAAAGTTAGTTCACACAGCGCTAATCATCGAACTGTAAAAAAAGTAATGATACCTGAAAGAGAATTTTTTCCACATTGCCTTTCTTTACAACAAATTGTCCCACAGAGGAATGCACGGGTTTAAATCCTGCAAAATTCACACTATATTTCCAGCGACATTTTTTACACTATAAAGATAAACTGAATCCCGTTGCGTATTCGCTTTTGCCTACTAAAACAGTAAGGTGGGTCAGCAAAGCACCACTACTCAAACCAACTCTCGCCTCATAGCCAGCTTTCAACAAAAGCAGAAAGGCGCTGCTTAAAATAATGTCTGCCTGTTATTTATGGATCCCATTCGCTCCAGTACAGTATTATCGAGCAAAACTGGTCTAGAAACGAGGACAACAGGTCCCGTACTACAATAACTGTTGCACATTCTACCACCCAAACTTCTGCAGTTATGTTAGCTTGAGTTCAGCGTAAGGCTGAAAGACAGTATCGTGAATTGTGGAGCTGAAAGAAGACACAAACCAATGTAAATAAGTTGGTCGGTGCCATCAATGAGCTGAAATCGTTTGGCCTTTCGTTTGAAGCAGTCAATGCGATGCTTCATATGTCCCTCAAGTCGTCGTGGCAACTCCCTGGTCTGATGATAGTGTACCAGTTCGTTGTAAGCCTCCTCTGTGAACCCGCCGTATCCGCATCTAAAATATCACGCTGTGCTGCACCAACAGTGCCCCGAATTCGGCGTCCATTGCCCTCTTACCCGGCCAAATTTGCATTATTCTACCTGCGCTTTAGCGTTAAATTCGGGGCACAAAGCCTAATTTTTGGCACGATAAGCCAACCGATCACTTTTCGAACAAATTTTGCGCTTTTTTGGTCTGACTTTATGACCCGCTGCTTGTGCATTTTGCCTTTCAACACAATTAATTCTTTTCAGACAAATGATTTTCACTTCCCCTGCGAACAGAATGGGCAACCACCACCCGTCAGCAGTGTTCCTCCTCCCTGTTCCCGCCCGAGCACGACACTGAGCTAATCAACACCGAACGCCATCAGCAACATATTTCCCAGTAATGCTAAGGAACTTCAATTTTTGGCAAGTTTTGCAATACCAAATAAATGGCCAACGCACGGGCTGCTCGTGCGAAGATGCGTTTTTTGCATAGTACATTAACACCTACTTGGACGGAGAACATTCCCCTAAGATTTCAGCATTCTAGCTTCTCAGATCCCCGAGTTATGAACAAACCCAAAAAACCTTTGGCGGCCCCGTACGCGGGTAATGTCGCCCCCAGTTATGAGCTGATCCCAAAAAAACTTTGGGGGGCCCGTACGCGGGTACCACGCGAGTTTTGGCGCTTTTTGGGGATTGGGGGCGGTACGTGCATGTAGATTAAGTTCCCGAAATTTCAGCCCCGCAGCTTTTACAGGTCGATTGGGGGCGGTACGTGCATGTAGATTAAGTTCCCGAAATTTCAGCCCCGCAGCTTTTATAGGTCTTGAGATGAAAAGTACACACAGACGCACAGAAACACAGACACATGGACATACAGATAACCCCTCGTCAATATGCGTTTTTGCATTGCATAGCTGCAAAAAAACGCATTAAAAAAATCGCGCAAAAATCAATGGCACTTCAGGCACAGTGTGATGGGACGGTACGTTTAGTGTTCTGACAGAAGTAACCACGTTTGTCTCTCCCGAACGCTATATGATTGGCAAGCTGAGAGCCAAGATTCCCAGTGAGCCAGCTAGCTTATCGAAATAACTGGTAAAGCGGCAACGTATGTCTGAAGTTGAGCGCTACCCATTGCTGTCGTCGAGCGGCTCATCCATGTCCAAATCATTCTCCTCCTTCTGCACCCTTCGCTTCTCGCCGCCACCCTCGCACATCGCTCAAACAACAACCACACGCACCTGAACAGACGAGAGCCGCTGAACTGAGAAGCATTCGTGAGCGAGAAAGTAAAAAAAAATAACTCAGCCCACGGGCACGCCGGAGAGCACCCGCTCACTCGGCACCGACCGATGCACAGAGTGCCGAACAGAAGAAAACAGGCAGCGAGAGTGGTACTCAGTGGCCAAAACGAACACTTCTGGTAAGAAAACACTGACCGAAAGCGCTGCCCTACACTGACCAGCGCTTTAGCTGCTGACCCCTGGTCACACCCCGTAGACGTCCCCGAGCTTAACAAATGTTCAGAAGGGGTTACCTGCTGGGGCGGTTGGCCGGCGCGCACAGATCCCTGGCCTATCCGCCAAAACACAGTGCTTCGCTGCCTCAACTAGAACGCCCCAACGCATCGTTCACAAACTGCCTATTCTCCGCGATGTGGGTTTTAACGCGTGCAGTTCTTGCTCGTCGTCATTAAATTACGACTGCCCGTGGGCTGGGATGGCTGAGAAATCCGGCTGCTCGGACGGTAGCCAGAAAGGAAGGCGCACAGGGCCGAAAAGCATAGCCAGGGCAACGTTTGCTCGGCCCTTGTATGTCGGGGACGAAGAGGTACGCTTACGTTCCACCTGAAATACGAGCAGCAATCGATTCGTGGAGTGCCTGTATCGGTGTCCCAGTGAAATTCGGAGTCCTAGTCAGGGTGCGAGTGGTCATTTGCGACCGAATGACATTGAACCGGAGGTCAGCGGTAGCAGAGGTTTGCGGACCATAGTGATAGCGCTTGCAGTGGTGCAGCAATACTAGCAGCATGAATTAGCTGTCCAATAATCACACCATTCCTCAGCTTGTCTGGGCCACCGCCCCAGCCAACGTGTGACCCAGTCCAGCACTGTCCCGGTGTAGTCTAGAAGTTCACATAGAGCACGCATGTTCAAAACAGGCAACTGCTAAAACTCGACTCGGCCATTACTCCAGCTTTTTTGCTAGCACTGTCTCACAGCATCACTCGCGGACGTCACTTGGCATCCCGCCAAAAGTGCTGGGTAGGGAGAGGGGAGAGAAGAAAGGGGGAACGAGAGCGTTAGTGAGGAGTTGGAGACGATAAATGGTGACCCAAATGGAACTCCCGGGGGCTAGGATTGAATGCAGGATAAAGAAGGGAAACACTGGTAGTAGGCAGGACTCCTAAGCAAGCAAACAGAACGAAACAGCACTGCTTTTGCTCAACGTTAGCATTGTAATGCAAATTGATGCACAGGAAAGTGAAAATTATTCTGTAAACCCTTTAAATTTACACAAAATTGCACAGGAAGCAGTACTGCTTTCGTCAATCAGCGGAGCTGAAGCGCTTCTTGCTTGCCTATACTGGGCACTGAATTTCTTTTTTAGCTTAATGAAAGCGCAAGGGAATCTGAGTGGTGGAAGCTGAACGTTGAAAATTTTACATTTTTACAGCTTTAAGATCACTACGATTACTATTACCACCTCTTTGCGTGATCAGAGAGCAAAAGCTGGCTCCGTCCCCATGCATCTAGTGTGCCCTATTTTTGCTCACTTCATGGGACTTATTCGCTGTCAGCTTTACCAAAGCGTCGTTTTCATAAATAGGGAAGTCCTCTACTGATGACGCGTTTTTATGGAACAGTTTCTACTAGCAAAACTTCACTTCCTTTTGTTTCTATTTATAGAGTCAGATTCGCTTTAATTTATTATGCGTTTTTTGCAGCAATGCAATGCGAAAAACGCATATTGACGAGAGGTTGTCT